TGTTAAGAAACACTTTAAAGATCTTTGCAAAGAAAGTGAATGCAATAAACAAAAGCAATTAGAGTGAGAGATAACCGTTAAAAACGCTAGAAATGAATTAAAACCACACATAAAACATATCCTTTTGACACATTGTACTACTGGCTGTGTTTACAAATGACCATGTTCATAAATTTTCTGTTTGTGTACGGCCACCAACAGCGGTATGGCTCACCATAATTTAGTGGCAAACCATTCACCGTATTATAAACCGTTTGACAGATGCATTAAATTTAAGAGAAAATCTGATACCAAATGACAAAATAAGGTGTATTTGGAGTAAAATGAATGCTAAGTTTTATTAATAATTTAGTGGCAAACCATTCACCGTATTATAAACCGTTTGACAGATGCATTAAATTTAAGAGAAAATCTGATACCAAATGACAAAATAAGGTGTATTTGGAGTAAAATGAATGCTAAGTTTTATTTTAAAAAAATGTTTGCGAAAAATGTTAGATTTATTTACGGAAGCGTGAAGTGCCAAACGTGACCAATAATATGACAAACTGTTAAAATACTATAAGAAAATACTGACTTCCGTTTCTGTACTCAATTCAAATACAGTGTAACTATTCCTAGCGTACAGAATATATATACAGTACGGTATACCCATTGACAGGAACTGTGCTTTTATAAGCATATATTGCATGTTATTGTTTGATGTATTCGCTGTTTAGTTTTACGAAGAGAACAGGTATTATATGTCAAACATTAGACCAGATATTCAACGGTTACAGAAAACTAATTCACAAACTCACCCCTAAATGACAGCTCCCAACAAGAAAAGGGTCTCTCTTTCTCTCTCTCTCTCTCTCTCTCTCTCTCTCTCTCTCCTCAACCCGAGAGTAATGATATGCTCTCCTTTCGAGGGAACAGTATTGTGCGAACAAAGCCTAACATACCTGTGACCCAAACCCTAACGCAAATCCATAAGAATAATTTAGTGGCAAACCATTCACCGTATTATAAACCGTTTGACAGATGCATTAAATTTAAGAGAAAATCTGATACCAAATGACAAAATAAGGTGTATTTGGAGTAAAATGAATGCTAAGTTTTATTAAAAAGAAATGTTTGCGAAAAATGTTAGATTTATTTACGGAAGCGTGAAGTGGCAAACGTGACCAATAATATGACAAACTGTTAAAATACTATAAGAAAATACTGACTTCCGTTTCTGTACTCAATTCAAATACAGTGTAACTATTCCTAGCGTACAGAATATATATATATACAGTACTGTATACCCATTGACAGGAACTGTGCTTTTATAAGCATATATTGCATGTTATTGTTTGATGTATTCGTTGTTTAGTTTTACGAAGAGAACAGGTATTATATGTCAAACATTAGACCAGATATTCAACGGTTACAGAAAACTAATTCACAAATTCACCCCTAAATGACAGCTCCCAACAAGAAAAGGGTCTCTCTCTCTCTCTCTCTCTCTCTCCTCAACCCGAGAGTAATGATATGCTCTCCTTTCGAGGGAACAGTATTGTGCGAACAAAGCCTAACATACCTGTGACCCAAACCCTAACGCAAATCCATAAGAATTCATAATTTGCAAAATCACGAATTTTACCCCAAAACTAATTGAATATTTTTGTTTATATCAAAAAAGAACTTAAAGTGTATTCAAGAAAAGACCTGTTTTTCTCTTTCTTTTCTCTAATGTATTTGTGTTGTTATATGTTATGGCTTTGACTTTATTTATTCAACGAAAATATTTATATATTAGCAAAACTGTAAGCATTTGTACGATTGTATGAGTCGATCTACTTTTTCTTATATCAACATAAATGTTAAATGTATATTGCATCTCTCTCTCTCTCTCTCTCTCTCTCTCTCTCTCTCTCTCTCTCTCNAGCATATACCTTACCTGTATTGAGTAGTGTATACAGTATTGTATATTGTATATCCAGATTTAATGCCTCAATCAATACTCTCTCTCTCTCGTCTGTCGATTAGTGGAATAATGAGAGAAATGGGGACAACAATAGGGTTGTGGATGAGATGGCAGGAAATTATTACTAAATTGTAAGACTTCTGCAATAATTTCTTTATTAACGGTAATGTACTGTTGAGTTTGAGGTTTGAGTTAAAACTCTTATTTCACAACAATTTTACTCATTTCGAGAAATGAAGAGTAATGTAATGTTTGCTTCCATTATATTCAGCTATTTTGTATGAGTCGCCCGTATATATCATCAAATTATATTTCTATACAATTGACTCAAACAAACAAATTATTATTTCATATTATATTATATTCTTCTTATTCAAGAATATGAATAGTTTTGTTAGAAAAACGATTTTTTCTCTTCATTTTTGTTTATTTTCTTCATTTAATATTTCAAATGAACATAAAATATGAAAAATGTTACGAAAGATCTATTGAGTAAAAAAGCATTAATACATTTCGTGCCTTAAAATTGGTTTATTCATAATATCCCCAATGAATGCATCACTAAATTATTCATGTTTTATAACAAATCAGTTTCGAGTTTTTAAAGCCGTTTTACAGTTTTCAAACACTGTTTAGTATTTTATGCTTTTTGTGAGGGTTTAATGAATAAATTACATTATAGACAGTTATTTTAATTAAAGTTTTAGTTTTGTTTAAATTATGGGTAAATATATATTAATATTCAGATCGAATGCATGGAAATATCATTTTCTTTGATTATCTTTTATCGCTTGTACTGAATATTTTTCATTTTTAATTATTAGTTTTCACAAGATTTTCAACACAAACAAGAAGACAAATTTGAAATTAGAAAAAATATCATTAATACTCTCCGAGATATAGCCGACTTTGTATTTGCTTAACGAGTCAATTGTATGCCTGCTTTTAAATTGTAATGTAATTTGAGTGAATCGCTTGAATGTGTGAATAATCCCAATGACCTAATCCACACAATTAACAAACAATTATCTCTCGAGAATCGGTGCTATCGTTGAGGTATTAAAGGTTTTTAGTGTTTATACAACTCGTATGATACGAGTGAAAACAATTACATAATAGTATAAGTAATTCATTTGTGGAGCTCTCTATAAATCTGTGATGTGTTTGTAATTGTGTTGTGAAACCCTTACAATTGAAAATTATCTTCAAATTAAAACGAAAATAAAAAGTCTTATACATTGAGATACAGACAGACAGACAGAGAGAGAGAGAGAGAGAGAGAGAGAGAGAGAGAGAGAAAGAAAGAATTCATTTGAAGACAATTTTTAAACTTCAATTGTTTTGTCAAATTGGATATTGGAGTCGAGAGTCTCGCGAGTGGATAGTCTTATCTTTAAATATAATTTTTTGATGACTTTCCCAAACGAATTGGTTTAACGCAACCGAAGAAAAATAAAGAGCAAAAGATTATCACTAAATAGTTGCAGAGAAAGCCAAGTGAAAGGCATTCATAAAAACAAGACTCGTTTAATGAGTCGATTCACATATCGTTGTATATCTTATTGAGTCCAACACTCACACGAAGAATGAGAACACAATTTCATCACAACTTTCATTGTATATGAAAAAGAAAATGTTGTGTTTTATATGAATGGCATGAATGGCAAACCAATTACACCTAAAGATACGCCAATCCATGACATCTATAACATCCATGGCATACATGGATGTATACATCGCACGGAAATGCACGTTATTATCGCATCAATAGCCAAAGAGTCAAACTGTGGGACAAACTTTTTTTCGCTCAGATATTAACCACTATTGAAGAGTTAGGACTCAAAATGTGACTGAGAGTGAGGTCACAAATCAAATATAATTATTTTCGTTATCTTTCACTCCGAGATTACAGATATATTTGTGTGAATTTTATATAAAGAAATGCTTTTTTATGGCTTAATTCGTGACAAAATAAATTGAATTTTTAATTACCGGCTATTTTGAGACATGGCTTACATGGCTGTGAGTGTGTGTGTGTGTACTCAAAATGATTGCATTGGATGGGCATTGTATGCCATCCCGTAATATACTAGTCGTGTAGGACTATATCCATAATAAACTTGACATTCATTGTTAAGCAATACAATCGAGAAAATGTATGATAACCTGAAAACTCATCCTTCGCTTTAAGACAATAGTGTTACGCAAAAAATAAAATATAAGACCATTTGTGTGTCGATTGCAATACACCATTGCAGTCGAAAGCATTGAATTAATGTTTGCATTAAATATATTCATCTCTTAGACTACATTCTGTTCTTAATTGGACTGCAATTACTTGTCATCAAAGGGCATGCATTTGTGTGCACAGAGAATATATGGCTTATGAATAATAGCGAAACCCATAGAGCTTTCAAAGGCATATACAGTACATATAAACAGCATTTGTATGCATTGTTTTCATCCCACATAAGACATATAATATGCCGTTAATAAATGGGAACCGCTTTCACTATTTAAGAAAATTGCGCTATTATTCCAACATTAGGAGAGTGTGGGTGCGTTTGGAGGACACTTTTTATATATAATTAGGTCAGACAATAGTGTTAATATAATATATAATATAATATAATACAATATACATCTCGTACACACACACTGTGAGCCAATTCTAATTCATATAGCAATTGATTACTACTTAAAGTGCATATAAAACTTACATATATTTTGCGGCAGCATTTTGTGCGCTAAAATCTTTTCTCACTCGCCTTTAATTTAATTGTTTTTCGCTGCATTCAATTCAATTGAATATTTCGGTTTACAAGGATTGCATATATTGTTATTCACCATAAAAACCCACCTCCCGTTCCATTCATTTATTTATGAAAGCATTGAGAAGTGGAGGAATCATATAATCTGATCTTGAATTCAATCGCATCTCTCTCTACCATAAGAGCACAACCACCACAACCTTGGCTTTTGTTACTATCGCCTAGTATTGCCTTTTGCTTTCATTTTCAGTACTTATTATAAAAAGCAAACAACATTTTCTTCGCTTATTTTTACTTTTTTCTTGTAATAAAATGCTTTAAATGAATAACATTTTTATTTAGATTTCGAGTTAAGTTAAGGTAAAAAACACATCATATGATTGTGAAGCAGATTAATAGCAAAAGGAAAGCAGAACACAGAGAGTGTGGAGAGAGAGAGAGAGAGAGAGAGAGAGAGAGAGTTGTTCCACATTTGCTTTTTGGAGATGTTTTGGTGCGATATTAAGCAATACAATCATCGATCAAAAGCCTGGCGTCCAATGCAATAGCATTTCATTAATAAATTCTGGTAAAAAACTTTTCGCTAAATTCCTGAAACAAACACTAAATGCCATTGTATTTGCATATTCATTGACAATACAAATGTACAGCAATGTAAAAATTTTAAGTGAACACATTTTTTCCACTTTCTCATGATCTTCAATTACAATTTGATTTAAACGTACGATAAAAACTAATCTGACAACTATTCGCCACTTATTTATTGAATTTAATTTTTCGTATAAAAGTAGAGAAAATTACAACTTTTCAACATAAGATTTTTTTATATTGAAAACTAATTAAATGATTACTAGATTTTCATATTATAAACACAAATAGATATTTACGTCATGTTTGAAGGTAAACACTATTAACTGTTAGTCTAAAAAGCCATGAATTAAAAGATGATTTATTTTTCTCGCTTACAATGTTATGCTTTGTTAGGAGAAACGAAACACACATTTCCACTCAATTATAACGAAATTAGAGCTCAAAATGAGTCTTTCATTTGCGGAAAAATTACGATAAAATCATTGAGAGAAACGCGTTTAGTGTTAATCAAATGGTTTAGTTTTAGACAATTTTTGCAACATTTGATGCGTTTTTTTCACTTTTCAATGAATCTCAGAGTCTTTCGCTGACAAAGAAATTGAGGAAAACGTGAAGAGATTCCACTTTTTTATTATTATTTTTCGCGAAAACACACAATTGCTTCTCTAATTGAATATAATTTATATTTCATGTTATCCTCTATTTATTGAATGATTGCAAAACACATTTTTTTTGTGTTCAAAATATAGATATAATACCAAAAGTTAAAAATGCATATATTTATAGAGATATTAGAATATTACTTATTTGCAAGTTTATGCGCTAATATATTCAAATGAAATGCAAGTGTTATATAAAAAAGTAAAATATCCCATTAATGTGTGAGTACATGATAGCGCTATTTAAAACTCAGACCTCAATCCCATTTTCAATTATATTAACGATTGGGAACTAATTAATCAATTAATTAACCACATAAAAGCCAATAGTGCTCTGAATATAATTAGAGTAAAATAAATAAAAACAATTAAACAAACAGAAAACAAGAGCATAAAAAGCAGTTACAGCCAAAGCCATGAGTTAATTAAGATTAAAGGGATTTTCATTACATTTCAATTTAAATAGCTATTGAGAAGTATTGCTTAACACATGCACGCGTTGGCGAAGTTAACAGAATTTAAATTAATATTAATGTTTGTGATGTATGTCTGATCTGTTTGTAAGTGAAGTGCAAAAATTCTTGATCTCTGCCTCTGAGCGCAATACTAACCCACTTATGATACCCGTTATAGTTATAGTTAGGCTATACTAGCTATAAGTTACGCAAAAAAGTTTTTGCTGCAAAAATATGCTCAAAAAATGCAAACCGTGTGTAAACTATATATTTCTTTCCCCCGAAATGAAGACACATATGTATTGCAAAAGAGATGAATAAAAACAAAAACACTCCGCAACTGATTAAAGCCTCTGAAAGGACTGCCAAATTGATTCTCATTAATCCAATTCATTTTAATTCTCTCTCTTTGCAAAAAAAATATTTGTTGAATACATACGAGTCATACATATAAAAAGTGTTATACATTACGCAACACTCGCAGAACACTACTTGAATATACGAAAAAGTAAAGCATAAAATTGCATAAAACAGTGACTTTCATATCCTTGAATATATGATATAGTCTTGTAATTTAGGAGAGAGTTAAGTATTTCCTTTAGTATCTCTTTTTTGTCTTTCATTACAATTACTTTTTCTCTCTCTCTCTCTCTCTCTCTCTCTCTCTCTCTCGAAAAGATAATGCAATCCATAAATTAGACACAAAACCATAATATCGTGACAAATAAACTATGGATTTAAACACACAAAAGATCGCCTCCTTTACATGTTTGCGATGTTAATACATTTGCTTTAAATTCAATGCAAAAAAAACTTTTTATATTTATAGTTTTCATGTGTATTGCAAATATGGATTGCATTTATTTGTAAGTTTCTAGCTCATGTTTTAAACATTTGGTTTTAGTTTTCTTTTTCGATAATAAATGTATATTTAATTCCCGATATATCGAAACGTGTAAACAAAAGTGAAATTGAATTTCATATGCATTAATATGCTCCTTAACTGACATTTTTATTTCGCGTATTTTATTATTACTTCAAGACTTTATGCAATATAAGTCTAAATATGCGCTTATTTTCCCCATTCGGGTGCTATTAAAAGGCGTATAATTTAAGTCAAATCGTTGCGCTTTTTGTTATAAGTTATAACATATAATACTAATATTATGCGCGCTTTTTAGTAATACCTGTCTATGAATCGCTTCTCCCTATCAATAATATTATACATTCAATACATTCAGCGTATATATGACTGGAATGTCATCTTATCTCTGAGCTCATCATCAATACTATTCCCGATACCTATGCCTACCTATGCTTTACGGCACTCACACTCTATTCAACATTCAAATTACAATTCCGGATCTCTCTCTCTCTCTCTCTCTCTCTCTCAGCCGCTAATGAGCTTTCACTCGACTCTCACTCACTCATAAAAAGTAGTGAATATCTCATATCTCCTCCTCTTGTGTGCCGTTGAGGAAAGTTATGGCATATTATTGTCACAGAAAGAAAAACTATTTTATTTTGTTGAATGCAATTAACTTTTCTTTTCTTTACTGTTATGAGTGTTTAAAAATTGTTAAAACATTTATATATTGCACACAATCTCGCAGAGCATAGTAGGAGAGAGGGATAGGTATATACGAAAAGAGCATTCAATTCAGGGTCAGTGCAAAAAAGATGACCTCTTTTTCGCGAAACACTGACAACAGAAAGAGCGCTCTTTTTTCATTAAAGGAAGAGATGACTCGTATTCACAGCTCTAATGCCTGCGGGCTATCAGTTATTTGGGTTTTGTATAATAAAACATATATTAAATTCTTTACGATTTTTATCAAACATTGAAAAAATATATACGCGAATAATATTGCCTACAATTGAATTAATTTGTTGCAAAAATACAGTATATCTTGTTTGCACACAAAAATATCGCTTTTTTCCGACAGATTGTATAATAACGCAAGCGATTCGTACATAAATGAATGTGTGGTTAGTATTGGTGTTGTGTGTATGATATGTAAGAAGTAGGTAATGAATGTATCACTAAGGGTACCATACCTTACAGCCCTCGCAAGTGAAAGCGCCAAAATGATATCCCGCTGCAGGTTCTCCACACACTTTGCACAGTTGGTTCATCTGTAAAAATGAGAGCACATATTATTAAGACTTTTTTTGCTGCCACCCAATCATCCTATTTATTAGTGGCCTTTATATCAATTGTGGCCATAAGTTGTTGTAATAAGAAAGTTATTATTATTTCTCTCGCTCTCTATATTAACATTAGCCCACTTTTGGCTCTTGTTTTCACTTTTATAACTCGATTTACATAATAAGCAGAAGAAAGTTGTGTTTTATAAAATTGATGGCATCGTATGCTCTATATATCAGCAATTATTACGATAATTATCACAATTTCAAAACACACCTAGAGCGTACATATATTAAAAACGTAAGAAAAAGTTTAAAAAACAAAACATTATAACTATTATATAATAATCATAATAACAAGTGGTATTCCTATCAGATTTAAATGAAACATGAGTTAAAGAGAGAGTAATTTGAATGACATAAGCGTTTTGGCACAAGACTTGACAATCAAATGCAGTCTTTTGACCGATTTATTAGGAATTCGCTTTCATTTACTCAAACAAAATGCAAGTTTTCATATGAGAGAGAGTGTGTGTGTGCCTGAGAGGCATAAACTTGAAATAAAAACTAATTTATAACACATTTTTAATTTACTTTTTTCAATATACCTTTTCATATGAGTATTGCATAAATTAAAGCACAGGTATTTGAGAACATCTTCACATTAATAAACAAAAAAAATGCTTTATTTTAATGAAAATAAAACAATAAAAGTTGTGACACAAGTCATTAGAAAATGTGTGCTAAACGGAAATCCAATTACAAACTATGAGTTCATATACGACGGGATGAGTTAAGGATTGAAAACTTGTGTGATGTGTGTTGAGAGTGTTGTCTACATAACTGAATAGTGAGGCAATTGTGAGGCAATAATCGCTTTTTTCGTTGTGTTGTTTGCCATCCAAGGATAACCGCGTCGTGACCGAAGAGTAGGTGGATCTCTGGACCGGTGCTCATCCACACCATCGCATTACATACCAGTGCGACCAGTGATGGCCATCAGTGCTGCACTCATTGCCGATTAGCAGCCAATCTTGTGATCAATTTTCAGTATTGACTTATATTTCTAATTATACATCACTTTCTTTGAAGTGACTGTTCATTTAAATGTTGGATTTCAAGGCAACAATGATATCACCGAAATGTATATTAAATATGAATTAAAAAGATTTATTCATATAAAGGAAATGAGACTTTTTGTGGACACTATTTGCGAAGAAGGAAAGTCTTGCATACAATTCAGTGTTCAGTTGTGTTCATGTAATACAACGTTAGTTGTATATCATTGACGAGACATTGAAGTTATCATTTATCGCACCACTAAAGCATTAAAGCTTTATATCCATTATATTTTCCCAAATGATTGCACCATTTCTTTCTTTTTTCAGCACAAAATTAGTCTCATTTGAGAGTTTCATTCAATGCATTAAACAGTATTATAAGGAAAGCATTACTAAAAACTGACTTTCATTTCAAGGTCTGAAAACTGATTGAAAGAAAGAGTGAAGACTTTTGAGTGTTTGGAGTCGAGAGTGGAGTGTAATGAGAGCTATTCGTATCGACCACTAAGACTGGGGATGTGCTGTAGTAGTGGTGGTAGTAGTGGTGGCACAACAGGCAGTGGTGGATGAGTGGGAGCCCTTCCGTTCCCTTCCGTTTACTACATATTCTCACACGAAAATAAAATTAAAGCCCCGAAGGCCTGAATCAAATGATAGGAAAGGCAGAAGATCCCGCCCCTAATCAAGTGACGAGATTTCGGTACACCTGATCACTGCTCCACAAGTGAGAGCTCCTATTCCTCTCAATTCTCGTCAAACACAAGGACTTAAGTGCTAACAGAGCTGACACTGCATTCATTTGTATGGTATGAACAATGAGAGAGAGAGAGAGAGAGAGAGAGAGAGAGAGGACAGGCTTAGGACAGGCGGGACTACCAAAAGGATAAATGCAAAGACATAGTGAGAGTAGTGCTGATTGTCTCGCATTATTGAAAACAAATCCAAACCTCTTAGAGGACTATCATCTTCAAGGACTCATTACGGAAAAGAGTAAGAGTTTCTACAGTTTTATTGCCAATGACTGCCTGTGACGGCACTCACAGAACCCCTTAAATGCAAAACCAGACCGAAAAGCCAAATAACTTTACAAAATAAATGTCAGTTAAGGACTAAATGCTATTCTTTTAGCCAATCGTTAGCTTTTGTGTTTCTCATGGCATCTAAAACTACCGCTCGATTGCTAACAACTTTTGTTTTACTTTTATTCATTGTATCGATTGATAGGAAAAATTGGCATTTTATTAGTGCAATACACGTCTCTCTACTATTAAAAAGTTAAAATGAAAACATTTCTTACGCTCCCCTTATGGTAGACTCCACTCAAGAATTCTCTAATGAAAACAACTCTATCTTAATCTCTCATTCAATTGTGAGGCGAAGAATGCGTTGGGAAAGCAAGAGATGATAATTATTTTATTTTTATTTTCATTTCAATCAATTTGTTTTAGTCTTAAATCCAGTTTTCTATTTAGCCAACCATTCGGCGCTTAATATTCAATAACACTGTGGAGTGAATCATATTTTTTTTATAACTAATGACTTTAAACAAGCACTGGAGAAGGACTTATTCTACATATAATCAGTACAAGTATTACTTAAAAGTAGTCTTAATATTATATATGAAAGCATTATTTGATTTAATCCAATTGGTTAGACATATGTGTGGTGTGTAGAGCGGGCACAGGGAGGGCAGAGAGGATGAGGAGAGAGAATATGTTGTCCTTGAATTCAAGAAGAGTGAAGTCAACACTAAGACTAGATTCGTGAGCCATATATTCAGTATTAGAGTGATTGCAATACTTGGAAAAAAGGCAATATTTAATGCATTGAGTAGTGTTTGGCAAGTCTTGTACTCATTATGAAAAACTCTTGAGAGAGAGAGAGAGAGAGAGAGAGAGAGAGAGCTCTTCAGAACAAATCGTGCAAAAGATTTCTAATTAATTATTTCTTTCACTCAATTCAATACAATTCAATTCAAAACACTGCCTTCTCGTCCTTAATGTATAATACATTTCAAACAACAAAATCATCGCTTTATTGAAAAAAATTCAAATTCTTTTTCCCAAACTTTTCTATAAGTTATGAGAATTTCTCGAGTTATGAGTAAAGCGTTTAAAGAATTTATTGGCGAAGCGATTGCTTTTCTGACCGTAAAATATAGAGTATTAAGGAGTTTGTGGTTTTTGCTGAGGGTCTCAGGTTTTTGGCAATCAGTGGCTCGTATTGAAGGTCAGTCTAATGACCAGAGTGTCCGACATTGGCATCCCTGTCCATATTTAGAACTGATGCCAGGCCTTGAACCCTAACTATTTGTATATTTTGCTAACCAATTCACTTTACATATATAGACTACAGTTAAGTCTATTGCAATAAATAAACAAATATTTGTTTCGTTCAGTCAATTTGGAGCTCAGAGTTCAACAGTTAATCAATATTTCCCTCCCATTCCAAGAGTTTTATGTGAATAATGGTCTCAAAAAGCGATTCATACTCTCATTGATAGCCATTATAAAAGAGATGTAAAGACAACGACATTCCGAACCCAACCGATGGACAAACACTGGCAACACTTTTGCATATATTTGCCACAAATATTGAGACTTTTATAGAGAGACTTAATATAATTATCATTTGAATGTCACTCAATCTCATATGAAATGATTTCGATATTTTGTGAAAAGTCATTCATTACACAAAAACACAACTGATTTATCATTTGAGCAAATTCTGGATAAATAAGATATGGTTTGGATATTCATGTTTGCAAATCTAGTTTATAAAGTGAAAACATTTGGCAAAAGTGTTGCAAAAATAATTTTCATCTGATTTCAGTAAATAAGATATAAAAGCACTCGAAAGAAAGGCACCATTTCTTACATTTTATATTCAGATCGGAATATGAGAAATGAATTCAATTTAAATAAATGCGAGAAATGGTTACGCCGAGTGGTATGAGTGGTATTAATACATATATTGATAGAAATGGAAATTAAATAATTTGTTTGAATCATTGTGTTTCTGCACCCTTTTCTGTACAATAATTGTAACTGTGTTTGAATGACTCCACAAGTAATCACTAATACATTCATTAAATAATTGCATAAAAAATGATTGTAAAAACAAAAAAGTGAATTAAGTGAATAACAACTTATGTTTAGGGACTCTAAAGGCAATTATTTGTAGTGCAGGTGCATCTGCCACCACATCCTACTGTATATGCAATCCGTCTAAAAAAGTTATAAATTAAAGCCTTATATACAATACACCTATGAATTGGCTTTGATTTGAGAGCGAATGCCAACAGAATAGCACTGAATAGCAGATGATAACTAAATAATACAATTACTGTGTAGTGAAGTCATAATTAGTGAATTAGTTCAACCGATTTTTGGCGATATAACGGCCAAAACCGTCTCTAAATGAGACACAGAATCCACAGTCACAGGGATAGGTAGGTATTGAGTGAGTGGACTGTCTCCTCTCTATCGATAGCACCGGTAACTAATAGGAGAGAAATTCTCGTCAGATGAAGCAAAACATGAGAATTTAATTTTTCCCACGAATTTGTCTGCTCGCTGGTCGTCTGAATGAGTGTTTTAGAGGTTTTAGTTCATTAAGAATAATATATTTTTAGTTGTTTAAGGGCTACCAATGCCGGAAAGATGGCAATCCTATTAGCAAAGGATTCATCGATCCGTAAAATTTTTAACAGAATTTTCGTCAATTGAATTGAACGGTTAGATGGTATCGACAAAAGTGATAGACAATGGCATAAATGCCTTGATATAATTACTATTAGATTTGCATATATGATAAGCGAGAGAGAAATACTGATTCATATTTGAGATGTACAGTTAAGACTTATTTCTTACCTTCAATTCTGGTGTCAGGTATTCGTAGCGATAAAGTGTGAGACAATTGTTATAAAAAGCGATTCACTCACTAAACACTATCTCATGGCCCCAACCAATGCTGCGAATACGAAGTGACGGCACAAATCTTTTGCTCGTTTCTTACACACCGTATTAAGCAATGATAATCTCTTTTCTATCGTAAAAATAGTGTTTTTCTATTTCAAATTAATAGTTACTTTTTGCTCCGTAACTCTTTATGCCATAAACAGAGTGACAGTGACTGTAAACGCAGTAATAATTAGCAGATTTTTCATTTGCAGTCAATTAACAACAAAATAAAACATTACTTTTAAACGATTAATAAATCGATGTTTCAATCATTTGATCGCAAAGTTGTTTTCGAGAGTAAATGAAAGCATAAGTTCTCTCAAAACGAGAAAAATCAAATCAATTATTATTAAAGTGTAACGCTTTGATAATTGTTAATAAATGTACATGATCACTTGTATGCATACACAACTCGGCAAAAAAACTTCAAGCACAACGAAAAAATCATAGAGTTTAAGACAATCAAGTGGAAAGGGATGGCATCCCCTTGTGATCCACAAAAACTATTAAAGTAGATCTTCTTTTCTCTTTTTTTCGTGTCGACGCGCAAAACACAGGCAATCAAAACAGCTTTTTTCTCTCACTGTATATCTCGCACATGAGAAGCACCGGTACGAAGTGAACACCTTTCCTCGTAGGGCTCGTGATTCGGTGCTTCATATGAAGATCGGGGTCAGAAAAGGCAGTGTAGAGTCTCAGGCGGGGGAGAGTATGTGTGTGTGTATGTAATGCCAGCGCTCGTAGGAGATGCTCAGCGACTCAGAGGAGGAGGGATTTGCTTCATAACCGCGAAGACTGTATGAGTGCGAGAGAGAGGAGGAAAGGACTTGAAAACCACAAACGGTTTGCTCGCATCGCAATGCCATCCAATTATGCAAACATGAATTCACCTGCACTTCGGCGGTGGAGTGAGTGAGCTGTTCGTACGGGACATACAGGTTGT